GTTTTGAACATAAGATAAAATTAAAATAAATTAAAAATAAATAAAATTAAAATCAATCCTTGCGAGGCCATGCCGACAGAATGGGTGGAGACAGTCAACACTGTGTCTTCCTCACTGGAACTCTATTCTTTTACGTTCCGGAAAGGAGAACACAATAAGGGGTAGGGCACAAGCGGTAGACTGTCCTCGCGCACACGATCTGTGCGGCACTGTACAGTCCTCTTCATTGCTGCGCGTGACGCGGCTCAGCCGCCCCACCGGTCTGCAGTGGAGAGGACTGTACCTTCAATGGTTTTGTCGGCACTTCTTCCTCCTATTCAGCATTTCTCCCACTAGCGCGGTCCATTCTTGTGGTATGGTGACACCACCACTTCTCCCAATTAGATACCCGCTCGGGACGGGCGCCTATCGTAATTTCTGCATTTATCGTGTTGAAGCAGTGTTGTTTGAGGCGTCCTTCGGGCACTTTCTGGCCACCTTGAGCTCAACTCCAGTCTTGTGAAAGGTGTCAGCCTCAGCGCGAAGTGCATGGCAGTACCATCAAACAGGTCCGAGTCGAAGACAGAAGCCGTATTAACAGCTGGAGAGAAGCGCGCTACATTGGGCCTGATGTTTACAATCCGACGACCCCTGCAAACGACAGGACATGCGAAGCAGCGTGCATTGGAACGCAGCCACAGCGCCCTTTTTCAATCAGTGATGCTATCCAGAGGGCGATTGGTGGTAAATCTGCCCTGGCTGCGTTCCAGACCAGGTCCGCGTCACAGGCCCTATCGTTTGCAGGGATCATGACTGTCCTGAACCGATTTTTGATTTGTCCGGCTTCAACAAGTTTGAGGGAGTATCTAAATGCCCCTGCGGGCAAGGTTGGGGTTACTGTCACGCGACTAGGGTAACCGTACTTGAAAGTGGTTCACCTACCCCAGTGCTCCTTCTTCTTTTAGAGTCAGCTAATAGTACTGATCACAGTTACGCTAGTGGTGCTTCTTCTTTTGATGTTCGCCCTTCCCTCTCCCCTTTAATCCAAGGTTAGTAGCATTTCAAGCACTCTCTATACCCTTGAGTCGGGGGCACAATCTTCCGATTGTTGATCGGAAGGACCTGTCACCTCTTCTCCTCTCTGTTCGACGGATGTTGGCGTGAGAAATGTTGTCCAATGTTTTTTTCCAATTTGAGTAATTTTCAAGTACTGGCGAAAGTTAGTTCACCGAAGAAAATCTGCATCAGCTGCATTTGTCGCACGCCTTGACCCCAGACAAGGAGTGCCCATGTGATCGAAAGACAAGCACCCTCGAGCACGATGATAGGCTTATAACGAAGTAGATCCGTTAAAATAAATATAGGTACCTGAAAAAATAAATAAGTCATAGATTGTGGTGTGGGTGATGGGAAAACAGGTAAAAAAAGGCTTACCAAGAAAAACATGTAGGAATACGTCCAGAATGGAAAAATCTGTCCATAAACTTCATCCAGTGTGAGATTCTTGTAGTGTGAAATGAGGAACGGAGTAAGGAATGGAGTGGCCGGCCGAAATTCTTTGATAATCCCGTAAATGCAAAAAAGAACGGTTGTAGCCTTCCAGTTCATTGCAGTTCCGGGGAGATGATCATATGCCACATTTAAGGTTTACGCATAGTACAAGTTGCCTATAAATCTGTAATAATAGATATTACAATGTATTTTTGAAACCATGAGAGCTTCTATCTCGAAGCTGGCCAGAGTACACCACTGAAGGGAGCAGTTCAGCCAAGACGAGTAGGATTAATACGCCTGGCAGGACGGAATTCCGCGACCCTGAGCAGGCGCTGCATAATGCCTTTTCCAAGGAAGGTGCCCTTATAAGGGCCCTATCAAGCCACAACATACCGACCCAAACGCCCGCCACGCCCGCCCGCCCACAAATGGACGACCGTTCCTGACGCTCTAATCGATTCATTTGCCCTAAGCAAATTTATTGAACCGAAGGGTATTAGGTATAAGCGACTGTGATGCTGCATGGATATATGAGTACACATATGCAGCCGTACCTTCGGTAGCGGTTATTGGCAAGATGCCTACAGGAAACTCGTCCAAAATTGATTTCTAACACATTGAGAACGGAGGCTCTTTCTTCGCAGGATTTTGACCGTTTCACTCCGTTCTTTCGCCATTTCCCCACTATATAGCGCCCTACTAGCATTTTAGGCCGAGCACCAAATCATCGTGCCAACTGCCTTTAGCTCTCGTAAAGTAATGCAGTAGCTCGGCTTCGGTGACAACTGACAAGAGCAGGGTCAGCACCTCGAAAAAGATTGCCCTTTCACTGCCACGTTCTCCAGAGAGGGGGTCCAGACCGTCCTCTCCTTTTGTTGACAGCTGAAGTATTTATTCTTACTCGCAGGGGTGAGCAGCGTTACTTCTCAATTGCAGCGAGTGCGACCAAATGGGCGTTGCAAGTGGGTGTGTGTTCGCACCCGGACCCAAGCCACCCAAGACAGCTGTGTTGCATCTCTCTATGGAGTGCGCCACGTGCTCTGCTTCCGATCTGAATTCCAGTGAATTTTAAGAGAGGACACTCTCTGACCCAACTTATTACTACAACCGAGTTATCAAGTTCAGGCAAACGTAACTTATAACTGCGGCATAGCTCCGTCCACACAAATTTCCTCTGTTATGAGTTCTTGACCAATCCAGCTTGCCCTGCCCCCCTCCCCTGAGCCAAACAGGGCCCCATTAAAGTCCAGTGACAGCAGGAGCAAGAAACGAGCGATCCGCTTGTGATAGAATTCATAACAGAGGAAATTTAGTGGACGGAGCTATGCCGCAGTTATAAGTTACGTTTGCCTGAACTTGATAACTCGGTTGTAGTAATAAGTTGGGTCAGAGAGTGTCCTCTCTTGAAATTCA